CAGGAAATTCTGGTCTCAGTGTGTGGTTGCTTTTAGAATAGTGACTCGTAAGTGCTAGTATTCAGACCAAACATCAAATGTGTGCTGAGATCCAGATTTCAGAGGCTTCTATCAAATGGGAGAAGAGAGTTTCAGGTACAAGACAGCCTGGCAGATCACTAAATATCCTGCCCCATCTGGATATGTGAACACGTTCTCATTCCCAAGGTGATATGGGCCATTCCTTTGACATTCCTTTAGTTGTACATTCACTAGATCGTGGAATTCCTGAGGATAGTTTCTGTACCGCCTTCATCTTCGTATTTATACTCATATCGTCTAGTTCCATCCCTGGCACATGAATGTGTTTAGCCACTTGCCAGAATATTTTATCTGTTTGTTTATTTTGTGGAGCTTTTCCATTAGTTCTTCTAATTGTGATTGCTATGTCAATAAGTTCTGCTGCATCATTTTTTTTATCCTTTGTTTTCAAAAATGTGTTAGGCTGTTCCATTTCTGTCTCACTATATACTGAAGCAGTTATTTGCTAATTATTTTGATTTTTACGTACGATGCTATTTTAATTTCTTATCAACTTGTATTTAACATCAGGAGGCCCTTGTATTATTCACAGCAGCCCAGGAGACAAATTAATGTATTCAAAAAGATGTCCAATTTTGGAATCAGACAGGTTCAGATTCTCATTGTCACTTCTAGTAGTTGACTTTAGGCAACTAACAACCTTGAATTATTCATCATCTGTGAAAACAGGGACAAAAATGGGATTAAATAAGATCAGATGTTTAGAAGTGCCAGACACAAAATAATGCACTCAGTAAATTTCCATTTATATTTCTTCACATCGAGTCTGTGTACATGAACTTAATTTATATGTATACAGTGCTTTATTTTCTTATATCATGCTTTTGAATTGTCATTTGTATATTTGCTTAACTTTGTGAGATAACCAGGGAAAGTAATGTTACCACAAGCTTTATAAAATAAAATGAGAATATGTATTGCCTGTGATCACGCAGCCAAGAAGTTGCAGAATCAGAACTTGAACCCAGTCAATCCCCTCAGTCCATACGCACTGCCCTTTGTACAAGCCCTGTTGTATTTTTACCCACTCTCTTCCATATATTCACTTTGTCTCTGATAATTTCAATGGCAACCAATCACCACAATAAATGAGTCAGTTGGACCCAACCACCTGCCATGCTGATGCTGTAAATTAGATAAAGTGTATGCCTGATTTGATTATATTTATTCTTAGAGTACTACTTATCAGACATTTTGGTTTTGACCTATGAATTTCCTGAGAGGTTATTTTGTGTTTTCTGATAAATAATGGATTGTTTAAGTTATAAAATTGTAGATAATGATTATTAGCCAGTTTATATGTCTCAATCAACTTACAGTTGGGATAAGTGTTAGTTACTCCATTTCTAAATGCTAAGCAAGTAATCATGTGAACTGCACCTCTCTGGTGAGACTTCCTATGTGCTGTTATTAACCCTATGTGCTGTTCCTGTATGACTGGGCCTCTAGATATTTCTTTTGGGTCCTTCATTTTGGACTGCCAAATAAATTAGAATTAGTACCACCAAGGACTTTATTCCTTCAATTTCACTATACTAACTATATGGATAGTTTTAAAAACATGCTATTTATTTCTTTCATTTTTTACTAATTGTTATATGATAACTATGGTAATCCAGTTGATAGTATTCTTACAGTGCTCCATAAATCCATCCAGCTTGGCACTTACAAATGATGCCACAATTAACATTAATCATGTCTTGAATTCCTTTCCTCAAGAAGAGGAAATTTTGTCTGGTTGTTCTTGGTATCCCTAGGGTCTTACAACACAACGCCTGTGCAAAATATAAAGTAGGATTTGAGTGTTTGTTGAACCTGACTTTCAACTGCTCTTTCATTTTGCATCCATACAAAATTCCATTGACATGTCAAGATCAAGGTTTTTTTCATCATATTAGAATAACTAGTTTTCAGTTCTCTGCTCAGCCTTTTGATGAACAGATAACATAGAGGTCCCAAATACCTTTTATGTTTCAAGTGCCAAAATTAAATGAACTAATCATGGTGCCATTCAAGGTAGTACCTTTGTTGTATAAAGCGAGGCACAGTGACACTACTAAAAGTACATTTCAAAATATTACATTAAGAACAACATGATTTTTATAAAGCAAGAAAATTAACATTTTTGCCCTTTCACAATTTTTCCCCCAATTCTGCCCATTTTAATAAAAAGCCCACAAAGTGTTGCCTTAATTTTGACTATTTTATTTTTGCTCAGAAGCGAACTTTTTCAGCTGTGTTAGCTTACCAGAAATGAGAACATCAAAATGATAGCTGGAGCCCCTCAGTAGTGGAAGTATAATTACCATATTAGCATCATAAATCATTTGCTTCTCAGTACTGTATTAGGTCATGAGAGCAGCAGCTGCGGCTTTGTTCTACCTAGATGATGTTTCAAAAAAGCCATTTCTGTTTTTATTCACTCAAATTTACAGTTTCTCTTTTGTACTGATATTAACCAGTGTATCTATTAGTTTCCATTACCAGCAGAATAACCAAAACTATAAATAGTTCTGTATTTTCTCTCAAAACCCTTTCAAGCTGCATAGATACCTTTAATTTGATAGAACATCTGGGTAAATACATCTTGCTTCTTTTCTGTCTTTAGGCAAAATGCACACTATCTTAAGCCTGTTTTTTCATTAAAAAAAAAAAAAAGAAAAAATCAACTATACCAGCTCAGTCCCATCTGTTGTCCTCAGATTTGTCATAATAGATAAATTGGGCATCAGATTTATCGTAATAGATAAACGAGGCATCTAATCATATACGAATCTAGATAAGACATCAAAGTCAAGTCACTCTATCAGATTTATAATACTCATGTAAAAAAAATGCACTATTAAGTTTCATTGTTTGCTGGTTCTACCAAAAAACAATATATCAAAAATACCATAGATATAATTTCTTCAATATCGATCTCAATATCATAAAAAGGTTAGGTCTTTTCTTCCAAATGTGAACTGATCTGCACGACACCCACTTAGAGCACTCTTCTCACACATCTTAGCAAGTTTTAAAGGCGGTCTGCAGTTATCTTGGACAACTGTTGTTCTGATATTGGAATAACCAGTTATTCCATTACAGCTCTCTAAGTGTTACAGACCGGCAGTGATTGTTGTAGCCCTCCTAGAGTTCTCAGAGGCAAGCACCTTAATTTCGGCTTTTGTTGCAGCTCTGCAAGCCTTTTCTCACCTCATTTGTTTCCTGTTCCTGATTTGCTTCACAGTCCCTCAGATGAACTCAGTTTTTCAGAAGAGTTAGAATCACTTGTTTGTGCTTTCATTTCTACTGGCATTTTTCAGGTCGTAAGTGTACAAAGATGTGAGTTAAGTGGACAGATAAAGGTATTTTTTTCCACAGATTCTGTGTGAACCTAAAATCTAATCCAGATATTGGAAGATTTGTTAGTGAAGTGCCAAACCAATTTGGTAACTAAATTGGCTGAATTGTTGGCTGATATTTTGGTTTTGTAAATGATCACTTAGAGAGTTCTTATGATTCTCCCCTATATTTGTTGAGATTTCTTCTTTTGGGCCACTGAAAGGAATTTTTTCTTCTCTTTCACAAAAGCTTTCAATGGATTTTTTTTTTTAAATTAGTACGCATTTCAAAACTCACTACAAATCCAAGATAACATCACAATAAAATCAAAAGTAATTTCTTATAATTTAAATAATTGTTCCACAGTCAAACTCCCCAGTTTGAAAAATAAGTCCTTTACAGCTGGTTTATCCAAGTTAGGATCCAGTTGAGGCCTATGTATTGCTAATAATTTATGTCCCTTGGGGCTCTTTACTCTTTAACTAAGGTCTACCTTTTTCATGTCATTGACTTGTTGAAGAGGCTGTACCTGTAGATAAATAGGGATATTTATTTAAATTTATTTAAACATTAAATAATCTTTATTTAAACTTATTTAAATATTTAAGACTCTCTATACATTTGTTTAATTAAGAATATTTTCCTGCATAGCAAAAATTATATTCAAACCTCCCCAATTTGAGTTAGGGAAACAATCCTTTATATCTAGTTTGTTTAAACTGGGATCCAACCCAGAACCACACACTACAAATGATTGTTTGGTTCTCTCAGTGTCTTTTAACCTGGAACAATTCCTTTCATTCATGTTAGTAACTTGTTGACAAGACAGGACTAACATCTTGCAGAATGTCCCACCTTCTAGATTTGGTTTCTCTATCCCTCTAACACTACTTGTCCAATATAATAGCCACTAGTCACATATGACTATTGGGCTTCTAAAATTTAGCTAGTCTGAATTGAGATGTACTGTGAGTTTAAAATATACACTGGATTTCTAAGACTTCGTACACAAAAGCAATATATTTCACTAATATTTTTATATTGATTACATGTTCAAGTGATAATTTGGGTATTATAGGTTAAATAAATTGTTATTACAATTACTTTTGCCTGTTTCTTTTTTTTTTTTTTAAATGAAGCTACTAGAAAATTTTATGTGGCTTCCATTATATTCTATCAGATACTACTGTTCTGACAGATTCTAAAACAGAAAATTGATGCCTCCAAATGACCATGTCAGTATCCTGAGATGTAAGAGAAATAAGAACATCAGTAAGCTAAAGTGTGACTTAGCCTGACTTTTATAACATTTAGTTGCTGTGTAGAAGCTAAATGATATTCCATGGTAGACCTAGCCTAGAGAATTTTAAGACCTAATATCCTATAAGCATGACATTGTCCAGCAGGTGAAACAACTGCCGAAGATTTTGAGTATCCTTGATAGCTGACAGTGTTAAATAATGTAAACCTGTAAATGTGCCACAAATGCTATATGTAGTTGTTAACCCAGTGCTGCTGATTTAAAAGCAGAGGAGTATATGTGCCAGTGAAAGTTTGTGCTTCATTTATTTATTTATCTATTCATTTATTTTCAGTGTTGGAAAACCTTGAACAGACAATCGTCCCCAGTTGTGGATCACTGGAAAGTCAGCATGATTTTCGAACCCCAGAGTTTGTAAGTACTACTACTTTATCTTAAATTTGTTTTGGTTAGTTAAGAGGTTTTCACAAAATGGGGGGAAAAGATTTTTTATGAATTCCTTCAGTGGCTCTAGATCTGGCCTAGATACTGTGGCACTGACTGTGTGCTCAAAGCTCTGGTGTCTCTGGGGAACAACAGGTTACTGAACTTGAATGTCTCCGCATCATGCTCCATATGCTTAGTCTTTATACTGCTCGTGTAATTGCAAGTGGGAACTCATTCAGCAGTAAAACAGCAACGTGTTTTCAAAGCTCCTGCTTCATTCTTTGATACTGTTGCTATCAGTTTCTGCTGTTAGTAACTCTGGAAATGAGTCTTTATTGAGCACATACAGGTACACAGACAAGTGCCAGTCATTGGTGGTGGACACAACTTACTTTCCCTTTCGTTCTGGAGCTGTCAGCAATATAACCTGCGTGTATCTTGTAGAGCTAGGAATATTCTATCGGTTGTTCCAAGAAGAGGGGAACTAAATGCTCCCACTAAATTAGACTCATTAAAGATCAGCCATGGTTCCTGCCCTTAAGGAATTAAAAATCTTATTAGACGTTACTGTGATTTTATTAATGCCTTGTTTTAAAGAAAATTAAGCACATAGGATGCCTTGTGCGAAATGTCCTTACGAAATAGATTTTATGTTAAGCTCATTTGGAGAAGGGGGATGGGAAGAAGTGTTTCTCTGACTCATGTACCGTATTATCGCACCAGATGTGTAGGAAAAACATGCCAGGATCCACCTAGATTTACTGGGTTTTGTCCCTGTTGCAAATGCCTGTTTACCACTTTAGGAATGCAGAAGACTTTTTTGGTTTATTTTCAAAGTGTGATATACAGTTTCTTCTCCAGTAATTGGCAGAGCACAATTGTATTATTGATAAAGACAAAAAAAAAAAACTTCTTATGTGGTTTTTCTCTCCTCACTTACTCTTTATGGATTGCCTGCTCACTTCAGCCAAGAGTAAGGAAACTAGACAGTGCTCTGGACTGAAAAGGGATAGCTCATAAAACTATGTCCCCGATGCCATTTTATTTCAAAGTGGGGACTCCTGTGGTGCACTAGCAGATTGCCTACTGTGAAAAGCACCTGGATATAATAGAAAGACATAGTATTCAATGACTTTCCTATTATAGTCAGTACAATTTTCGCTAAAAGAAAATTGTGAATGCCCGCCAATGTTCCTGCATCTTAAAGTAACAAAGCAGTTTTGTGGTTTTTCTGATTTTTGCAGTTAGAGCCTAAAAGCAGAATTGACACAGACATTTCACATTTGAGCATGATACTGGTACAAACTCATGGAGCTGCCCCTTTTTTTGTTTTATTTTTTAACTGCTTTTTGTTAAAAGCAACATATCTTTCAGCAACATAACTAATCTAAAAAAATGCTGTGTGCAGCGAGGTGTGGGTGTGCCTGGTAAACACTTATATAGTTTCCAACCAAATCCCTTTGTGAAAATAACAGTAGTTTTCTCAAGAACAGATTTTGGTATATTGTGACGGAGATGGGCATTCCTCAGGAGTGTCTTTGCCACAGACAGTGCAGACGCGCCGGTAATCTTTCTCCACCTTCAGCATTAACTTCTTGACTACCACGTTTTCATTTTCAACATTTGAAGACTGGCTAGTCTAAACTAGAATGACTCAGGTAGAACTCAGGCTCACAGAATACATTTACCCTGTTGAGAGACTGGTTTTTAACAATGAGTCTTGAGAATACCCAAGCTGGAAGGAGACTCTTAGGCTAAATCCCCACCTTTTTTCCTTTTTTGATGTCATGCTTTAAGAATTATTGAGAGTCATTTTATTAGACCACATTGGTTGGAGTTGAAAACTGTTAACCATTATTTCCCTTTCTGTGTAGTTGATACCAGATTTCTATGACCTGGCTATTATCTTTCTCAAATTATGTGTTCATGTCATGTTCAGGAGGGAATCTGTGATTTTCTTGTGCTGTATAGATTTTCACACATCTGATGCTCATTACATGCCACTTCTTTGTGGAGCATGTAAATAGCTGCTTGTATTTTCTCCTGAGCATCACTGTAGCCAGCGTTCTCCCAGCTCCACTGTAAACAGATACTACCCAAACTGCTGTCTCCATGGTAAACAAACATGTGTGAAAGTGGTGCCTTGAGAATAGGGTGCTTGAGGGAACCAGGCATTATATTTAAGAGCAGCCCTTCTTGTAGGCAGAAGTTTACAGCGTCAGTGAAAACGGGTGGCTCCCATCATATAGGCAGGAGGACTGGGCAAATGCCAGGACAAAATCAGGTAAGTCGATCCAAACCACATTTTAAAATCAGAAACGGGAGTGACACTACAAACCTGGGAGCAAAAAGCACCCAAAGGCAAAGCAAAAGTGAAAACAGAAAGAACACTGAGAAGAAAAATAAAAGGAGCTGAAAACTCAATATTCTATTTTTTTTTCCATCTGGCATTTTGGAAAGTCCAACTGCAGTTTGCTGAATTGAACTGAAATAAAGCAAAGCATAGTCTGTGTTTACTCAGGCCTTATCCTCAAATAGTTCAGATTTTAGAAGGATCAGGAGCCTAGTGTTTTTATACAACAGAGTGTATTTATAGAGTTTGGCCAACAGGGAGAATAAAATGCTTATCATTATTAGTTCATTTCCTTCAGAATTTCTGTTTTTCTTTCATTTGAAACAAGGCCTAAGAGAGCAGTGCTCGTTGAGTAGCCTTGGCCACTGGCGTCGCAAGCTCATCGAAGTCTTCCTTCGCAGCTCAGGTGCCTATAAGGTGACGAGTCGGGTAAAGCCAGCACTGCTGTATAGTCTGCATACCTCATGAGTAACTAAATGCTGTGTGAACTGCCTGTGTGGCCTGGAGACAGCAGCCCACCCCCAGTGGCTTCTCTAGCTCGCCACAGAGCTTGTGCATTGATTACCTGTCACCTGTGCACCTGTGTTGCTCTTCTCCAGCTCCTCCCCGACCTTGCAGACTGAGGCAAATGAGTTTAGCCAGACTATGTGCAAATGGTAAGGGGTGAACAGAGATGTGAACATAGGTACGTGTGTTCTTGTTAGCCCAGAGCTTGTGAGGAGCTGGGAACATGTTGAAACTAGAAACTATGACACAGGCCCACTCCGAGGTAAGGTGGATGTGTGGGTGTAAGTGAAGGTGAAAAAGCCCTGGCTACATGCTGGCGTTATGGACAGTAACTTGGTGTTCTTGCTAGGGTGGGAAACAATCTCAGTCCTGGGTCAGTTTTTTTTTGTTTAAGCACAATGAGTATCTGTTTTATAAACATTTTATCATGAACATTTTGTCATGTTGTTGTTTTCCCTCTAACATTACTGCTATTATCTCTAACAGTATCTGTTCCACTATATTGATATGTATAGTTCATCACACTGTAATTTTCAAAGCAGGCAGTTCAAGGGGGATCTAGTCAGGGAAATGGTAACATGGCCAGATGCTCTGGAACTATGTGAATGGTGACTATCATTTTGGGATATGAATGAAAATAGACTAGGTGCGTGATGAATCTGGGGAAGGTAATCGGTCAAAGTGAGGCTGGGAACTAAGTAGCAGAAACCCAGATAACTTCGTAGAGTTCAGTCTTGGAAGTATAGACTACAGAAATAGGCCAATTAGCACTGAGGATGGTGAGCTATCCACATGGCGATGCAGCGGATAAATGTTGTTCTGCAATGTAGTTGCACGCAGGATATCACAGACACCCCTCTCCACACCCCCCAATCCCAGGTCTGGTTAAGAGTGAGGAGATCTAAGGGCCAGACATGGCCCAGCAGACACAGGTTGATTTCAAGCCCCAAGGAGTTGGAAAAAACTGGGGATTGAGGGGTTGGGGGTAGGGGAGGTCATGGTCAAGGCTATTTGTAGAAACCACCACTCCGTTGGCACTAACCCAGAAACTCAGATGGGCCTGATTGCCTGAGTACACATGGGGTAAGGGAAAGGATTCCGAGCCAGTGGCCACGAATCTGCTTGCAGCAAGCTGGGAGATCTTGCCACGGATAGAAATCAGGCTGCGGTCAACATGAAATACATGGAAGGAAAGGGAAGACTAAGGAATTATGTTTTATGATCTGAGACTCACTAGTAATACTCCCTTTTCCGGCCTTTCCAGAACTGGAGGTTTATATGTGACTCCCTGGCTTTGTAGAAGCTGGGAAATTCTTATCACCTCTGATCTCATGCCAATTGGGGATGTTTTTCGTTATTTAGCTTCTACCAAATTTGGAGTAAATAATAAGAAAGAATGGGCTGGCGGAAGAGTATTAGGGTTACAACAGGATAAATCAGGGACGATGATGAGAAACCACAGGATTTAGAAGGACTAAATAGAAAATAGACTCAGGAAGATGAGGATTAAAGTGGAACAAAATATATGTTCCGTTAATTAATCATCGTGGTTATGCAGAGAGAAGGAGGTCTGAAGAGTATCACCATTGGCATTTCGTGTAACTGACTCCCTTTTTGAAGGAAGATACTGCTTTGCAGAAAATACTTTTGATTCCTTGAAATTCAGATTTGATTATCCTCAACTATTTGAAAATACATGTGATCCCAAGGATGAGTTGGCATTAATTCACTAAAATATTTATTAATATTTGGTGTCTACTATTGTAGACACTGTAGTGAACAAACAAAAAATATCCTTGCACTTGAGGAGCCAGTATTTTGGTAGGGGAGACATAAAATACAAAATAAATGTACAACATGTTAGATAATCAATCCCTTAGAGAACAATAAGGCAGGGATTGTGTTGGGGGGTGTGGGGTACATCTAAATAGGGTGTTTAGGACGTATCTCACTGAGAAGGTGCCAGGTGAAAGTGCTGCTGGAGCCAGCTCTTTGGAGATGTGGAGGAGGAGCACTCCAGGCAGCATGAACAAAGGTGTCCCCGTGGGAGAGTTTGTGATATGTCTGAGGAAATGGAAGGAGGCCAGCACAGCTTGCGTGGAAGGAAAGATGGTGCATAGTACATGTG